AGCCTCTGTTGAAGGATTGGAGCCACTGATATTGCTGTACCAGGCAATTCAATTTCCTCAAATGAAGTGTGATGTCCACTTCAGAGGGAAGTAACTCAGAGAATTCTAAATTATGCTGACAGATTCAAGCACGAGGTCATTTCTAGAAGAAACATTTTCTTTTGAGAAACAAAATCACCAGAGAAACAGAGGCACCATGTCAGGAGAGACCATATGTGCTGTAGCACAGCCACATAAAGTAGTCTCGAATCTTTTACTGCCAGCATGATTTGATAGCAACCTGATATTGTACCTTATCTTCTGTTCACCTGAAAAGCTTTCCCATGCTGCATGTATTTTAAAAAATTCCCTGTGTCACTGATATTTCTCCATTCAAAAGTGAGGATATTGTTACCCAGCTGCAGAGCCTCAGTTTACCATTAGGAGATGGGGGACTGAATAAATTGGGCTACAGCTGGGACAGACCCAGTGAGTGTCTCAATTGGAACTTTTAGAACTTTTAGAACTGCAGTTCTAGAGAACAAACCCATAGCAGTGCCTTTTGCTGTGAAGACATTAACTCATGAAATCCCATGCGTTTTCTCTACTGAAGTTGATTACATCATTAGAGTTCTGGTAAAGTTACACAAAATCTTCTTTGAAAACAAGAAAATACTCCCTTTGAGAAAAAAATGAAGTTTACTCTTCATCAGTTCCTCAAACTACTTATTTGAGCATGTTGACAGCAGTAAGTATAATTTTCGCCAGGCATAAATGAAGAAGCTGAAGAACAGAGTCTTGAGCTGGTTTAACAAGGGTCATAGGAAAATACATTTATTTGTATTTGAGAGTGAGTAGCTTTTGCCTACAAACAGAAAGTCTTTGGATTGGTTGTAACTTTATTTATGCCCTTTGCCCTGTGCAAACCTACTAGAATATACTTGTTTATAAAGCACAATTAAATATCAAAATGATATAAAAGTGTTCATATATAAACATAATATATATATAAATTTATATATATATATATATATATAAAAGGGCATAAAAATATTGCTATTAACATTGCTAATGATTTGTCTGCTGCATTTTACTGTGCAATATGAACTGATCTTCTTCAATTACTTTGACTGGAGTTCCATTGGTTAAAGGAGCAAAGTGTAAATGGCAAGCGGTTGAATCACAGAATATTCAAAAGCTTAAAACAAATGCTACTAAAATACAATTTCTTGAAAAGAGAAAGCACTGGAAATTTGTACTTTTTGATCCCTACTGCACTGTGTTATGGTGACAAAATGGTGACAAGAACAGAAAGAGGAACAAGGAAACTTGGCTTTTTGAAAAAATGAAAACAAGAGAACAAATTAAGTATTTTGAGGTACTCATGGTAACCAGGGAACAAAAGAACAAATTAAATACTTTGAGGTAACTCATGGTAGCTCATAGACCAGGGAAGAACAGTGTAGAACAGTGTATGGGATTCTCTGGCCTTCTAAGTGCATGGAGATTAAGGTACACACCTCAGCCTCGATTAATTTCTCTTTTGATTTGAGCTTCTGAAGCACAAGCAGTTTTCTAAGCACAAACTTTTTGAATTCTATTTTCCACAAGCCAAATTAAAATTTAAGCAGGAACATAAGTGCTTAGACAGATTATTCACACCAGGCAGTTTCTAACAAATTTTAAAAAGCGTTAAATATTTACATGAAAAATTAGCAATTTATACAATAAGGACAATTTCTTCTGTTCTGTAAATGAGTACAGTTTCAGATTATGTGTTTTTTAATGTAGTAGCTATAATGTTCAGATACAAATTTCAAGCCTGAGGGAAATCTCTAAGAAGCAAATGCAAGATTTTGTTGTACTAAACTGCATTTTGGGACACAGCAGTCATGAGAGCATGTTCTTAGTAAATTACAGGATACAGCTGCTACAGCTAAAGTACTGCCAAGATCAAGCTATATATTTTAAGCTTTGAGAACATATTATTGAAAATATGTGCTCACTCCAATGTACTAAAACATGGGATATAAACTTCTCTTTATCATAAAGGTCCTGGCTTGTCAACAAGAATTTAGCTGCCATGTGCTCTGTAATAGAGTTTTTCTCACATTTCTGATAGATTTGGTTCATGTGTGGTTTTGTTTATGCCTGCCCACAGTAACACTAATGAAGAAGGAAAAAATGAAATACTGGTGCAGAGTAAAGAAGAACCCTACATGCATCATCCCTGGGGGATGGGCTGGATTCTTCTGAAGGCAAGTTAGAGCTTGCCTCTCTCAGTGACTGTCATCAATTCAAGCACTTCCAAGGAGATGACCATTGGTCATGGTTCATGGCCTCGCAGTGTTCATGAGCTGCAGCGCTGATTTCTGACAGGCTGGGGCTTCTCACACTTCCACAGAAATGTTGCTAACAGCTACAGTGGCTTCTTCAGTGTTACAGGACATAAATGGTCACTTCTACTATATGACTCATGTGGGATACTTGTCTACCTTAAGATAATACAAAATCATGCCTTTGACCACTTCAATCCACTGAATACAAAGATTAGACAAGGTCAGTTGCATAAGTCTTCATGGCTGTCATCTAAAATCAGATGAAACTATAGATGCCACTTTTAAAACCAGTAGGATTCATTGGCTTGGCCTGTCAGTGCTCTAAAATATGCTGTAATGCAGCAGATTTTTACCTGGAATGTTGGAATTTTAATTTGAAATCCTGTAGCTTTTTCTCAGCATCTGTCACTGTAAATCTTGGGTACCTTAGGCTTGTATTGCATGATTGGTCTCTAATACAATTTCCAGTCCTCCATGATGTTTAAATCCTTTCCTCAATATTTAGATGTGATTCTCTTTCATCCAGAATAGTGTGAGAAAACCTTGGACAGACATTGATTTGGGTATTTTCTTACTTCATTGTCTTCTCTTCAGAAGTTCTCAAGTCCTTTCATACCTTTTAGTGAAAGATATTTGGGTGAACAGAAAGGAGATTCTCAAAGGGATGACAAAACCTACTCACCATATTTCATAATTCAAGTTTAAGAAATACTCAGGGGAAAAATCATATATAAAGGCTTCATAGCAGGTCTGGTTTAGGTGTGGAAGCTGCTGCTACAGAAACGGAATTGCTGAGCTCAAGTAATTAACAAGATTTAAATAAATAATTAAGTAGGTAGAAAGAATATCTTGTTATCCTAATAATTCACAAAAAAAAATCTGGAAATACTTCCTCATCAAATTATTGTTTTATTAGAAACCAAAAGCAGAACTATGTAAGGTGAAAATTATCTGTTACTGCAGACGTTCTGAAACATCTAGCATCAGACACAGTCACAGGAGACAAAATACCTGGCCTTGAGTCTAATTAAATATGAAAAGACCCTTGTTCCTTCTTTGAAATGTTTTTTTAATATTAGTGATTTTAGAAAGTGAAAGTTTTTTACCATATCAGTCTTCCAAGCAGGAGCAGCCAAAAGTTCCCAGTGAAATAACAAAATGTTCATACAATGGATCACAAAGGCATTTTTAGTCTGGTACATTTAATTTTTTTAAATCAGGATAATATATTTGGTACTGTGCTCATTTTAAATACTACATTGCTTGTCACACTACATATGGCAATAGACCTCTTCAAATATATATAACAAATTTTTCCATGAGTAATAACTACATATAAAATATCTTCAATGATTAAAAAAATCCATATGTATTTTCTTCATGAAATACAATATATACATTACGATCTTATCGTTTTAAGGTACATCAAATTTTGGGTTTAAACAAATTCACAGTGTACATTTTACCTCTGTCATAAAAATCTTCACTTTAAAAGTGCCTGGATCTCAAACTGTATATATGTATTTCCTTTCACTGGGTTTACAGAGAGTGAGGGTTTACCATCAACGAGCACTATAGCAGATCCAAATTGTGTTTTACAATGACCAGAAATTAAGACTTCTGATTACTGGAAGTGAACACTGACTGTCCCTGTTACCTCAGATTCTGACCAAGAGATTTTCTGAAGGGCTTCTCTCAGATGGAAGATGTGCTTTGAGCAGCACAGCCTCTAACACAACCATTCAGTGGAGCTGAATGAACCGCACACTGTTTCAGAAAACCAAAATACCCAGGTGGAATTTCAATTCAGAGGCCAGTCCTGGCCAAGAGAGATGGCCAGGAACCATCCAGGAGCCAAAATGTACTGAAGTTACTGTCACGCTGCCTTCCAGCATGAGGTCACACCAATCACCTGTGCTCTACTACCTTTGGACCTCACTTTCCTTCTTCTCCCTCAGAGGAAGAAGCCTTAGAAGTTTCTAAACCCTGAGTTCTTTACACCTGAGGCCCACAGGATACACATTGTTCCCCATACTCTATTTGTGGCTAAACTTCTGTGCCAAGCACTTCCTCCAAAGCATGACAAGCACTTACAGGGCAAGCTGACCTCAGTCCCCTACCTCCACCTGTCTCCAAGTGATTTCAAAACCCATTCTAATATATGTTTGCATTTTTTTATCCTTGAAAATACACAGTGATACCATCAACAATTTTTAAAAAAGAACTATCAATAAATCCAGCTGGAAACTAATCTAGACACATTAAAAATAACCTCCAGCCTAAAAGGGAGAGGCAGAAACATTATAATACATTCCACAGTAAATGAGTTTCACAAAGCTAATTTTAAAGCAATTACTGACAAGTCTTTTAAAGCCTTGTTTCATACAGGTCTTTTACAGGTGTGTTACACCTTGTTACACCTTGATGCCACGTTTTAATTTTTCACAGCCCTTTCACTAATCTCAAAAAAAAGCTTAAAGAGAAGCAGAGATGCCCAATTTAATGTTTGTTTATAACACTTCCAGAATTAGTGACCATCCAAAGACAGAACCACAAATTACTGTATTAACCAAGGGAAAAATTACATGGAATTTATGTGGTTTCTATCTGGAAAGATTGAAACCAGCTAATTGTCCTGCATGGACATTGTTACACAACAGCCAGACAGAGCATGAGATATCTCATCTGCAGTTTAACCAAAAGAGAATTTTAACTACTGCAGTGGGCAGGGTGAAAGTGTTGGAGCTTTCTTTACCACATGGAGAGAAGATTCTTCATTAAAAGTCCTAAAGAATATAGCACAAGAGCAGAGCTTTCACTAGTGGAAAAAAGGATGAGAGATGCAAATCCATAAATGAGATCTCATGATTTTTTGAAACAAGATTGTTTTGTTTGCTATCTGTATGTCTGAAGAAAGTTTAATCATTTAAATAGAGAGACACAATATAGAGAAACATGATCCCCCATGCATGGCATTCCCAGAATTCAAAGAGAGGTTGGCACGTAACATTTTAGTATCTTCCACCTCACATAAAAATGTTACATTCAAACCCCTAACCTGCAGTTTGGGAGGTTCAGTTCAAGACATAAAAGCTGGAGAACTTGGGAATTCTGAAACAGACTGGAACATTAAGGGTTAATTATTTGGATTAAAGAAGGTTTTTTCCAGCCTCCCTGCCTCAGAAATAGTTTTTCAATAAATTTGGTGGAAAATACTTCTTTCTTAATGCACGAATTCCCATTGGAACCTAGGTATCTCACAGGATGGTCCAGTGCTGACAGGGATCAGTAGGGAAAAGTACAACACAGTGCTCTGAGTGTCCTGATATCTACCCCTGCATGGAAATGTTTGTAAGTTTATTTTAATATCCTACACATTTTTAAGACAGACAGTTAGATTTTCTTTTTATTTTTTTTCCTATTTTGGAATGCTGGAAAAATTTAATAGCTTTTGATATATAAGCCTGGATTTTTCTCTTTTGCTTCATTAAAATATATGTAAGAATGTTTATAAAAGGAAATTTAAAAAAAATAAACAGTTAACATAGGAAAAGTTTAGATCTATGCTTTTAATCTTTCTTGACTGGGATTATCAAGATTCCACTGGAATTCTTAAAGAGGTAAATTGAGTATTTAAATTATCTCAGATCAACTATTCTTCAGCAGGTAAAGAATAAATATCTTTACTGAAGTGGTAGATCTAGAGGATTTGCCACTGTGTTTTTTCAATAAGGACTTGGAATGATTTAATTTCTGAATCTTTTTTAGAAATGTGAGCTAGACTTGAGGAAAACAGAAATATGGCTTTAAGTGAATTGTTAACATTCTGTTGTGTATTTTATTTCGGTTATCTCTTGCTTTCTTCTTCCTTAGAGTCAAGTGACAGTTTTTCCCCAAGTTTCCTTATAAGTTCTGCCAGATCTTCAGAATTCTGAGATTTTTCCTCAAGGAGTTCATACCGGAGACTTGAGATGTCCTGTTTAATTTCCTTCAATTCACCTGTAACAGATTTTAGAAGATCACAATATTAAGAAACAAAATTTTTAAAAGCAGCATATCCAAATAGCTCACAATTATAATGTGGGGTTTTTTTTCTGTATTTCTTTGTTGAAACAGAAGAAGTACATATGCTGCTGGTGGTTGGTGAATCATAGGATATCTGAGTTGGAAGGGACCCACAATGATCATTGAGTCCAGCTTGTAAGTGAATGGCCCACACAGGGATTAAACCCAAGATCTTGATGTTATTAGCACCATGCTCTGACCAGCTGAGCTAACCTCAACGGAATGGTGTCCTGGGGATAGGAATATGAAGATGCAGTTCAGGAATCAAACAAATCTGAAGGCAAAAGTGTGAGAGACCATGAGTTCACAAAACTCACATGATCTATTTAATGGAAGATGCTGCTCTGTTGCAAGAGAGATCACAGAACCATAGTCACAGAATCATTTAGGTTGGAAAAGACCTCTAAGATCAATTAATCTAATCATTAATCCATCACTCCTCAGCCCACCAGATCCTTAAGGAACTAGATAATCTTTAAGGGCCTTTCCAAATGAAATTATTCTATGATTCTACTATTACTAGACCTAGCAACAAGTTTTAAAGCTTGTCAGATCAGTGATAGTTTCTAATGGGAGAGACAGGAGCCACATCACCTCTTCAAGAGTATGCTGTTTTTACCTCTTGCACTCATAAACATGTCAAGTGGATTAAGTATTTTGGAAATATGTAACTTTAGTTTGTTTAGATTCTCTGATGAAACATACAATTCATCAACATACTCACCTTCATTGACTTCATCACTTTCCTTATCTATCTGAGCTTTCAACACGTATCTTTTAATGAGACGCTTCATGATTTTCTGTAGAGAGGGAAGGGAAGGTGCAGGAGGGAGGGAGGAAGGGAGGGAGGGAAGGAAAAGATTATTAATTGGACTAGTATTGTTATGACACTTCAAAGTAAGAGCTCTTGTCCTGGTTTGAGTTGGGACAGAGTTAATTTTCCTCTTAGTGACTGTTACAGTGTGAGTTTTGAATTTAGTTTGAGAATAATGTTGATAACACATTGGTGTTTTAGTTGTTGCTGAGCAGTGATTACCCAAAGGCGAGGACTTTTCAATGCCTCAGGGTCTGCTACTGAGCAGGTGCATGGGAAGCTGGGAGGGAGAATGGTTGGGACAGCTGGACCAAACTGGCCAGAGGAATATTTCATACCACAGAGCATCATGTTCAGTATAGAAACTGGGGGAGGCTTGGCCTTGAGAGGTGATCACTGCTCCTGTATCTCCCCCTTTTCATTACTACTGCTACTACCACTACTATTATTTTTTTTATTTAAATTAGCTAAGTATTATTGTCTCAACTTGCAAGTTTTACCTTTTACGATTCACCTCCTCATCCCATGCAGTTGGAAGGGGCTGTGTGGGGACAGTGAGTAAGCAACTGTGTGGTACTTAGCTGACAGATGGGGTTAAATTATGATACCTCTGTTACCTTCTGTTGCATTCAGATACTTCAGTGTAGGACTTGGCAGGTTAAAGAAATTGAATGTAAAAATCTCTGCTTTCATCCACAGGTGATATTTAAATTTATTTAAATTTAAATATGTATGTATATGTATATACTTGGAAGTTTGGAGAACTAAAGACAATCTTACGAATGTTTTAATTCATAAACCTTAACCTACTACTGGAACCTGTAAGAACTATTAATACAGTTGCACCTTTGATCTCCAAGTAGATGTAGCCATCTGGCCTTCATTGTTACCCAAAGATGACAATGACCCCGCTTAGCAGAGCTAATTGCTAAACCCTTTTGTTGTCAGTTTATTTGAATCCATTTTGATGTATTTTCTAAGTCATGTTTTCCCAGTGTAGGGCTCGCTTAGAGAAAATGGGATCCAAAATTCTAAGTCATTTAAGTATCTCAGCTGGGACCCATCTAACCAAAGACAGATACTTTCTAATGTAAATACACATATCTGTCACCTTTATTTCCTTCTATGGATAAAATGAGCAAACCTGAGAGCACAGTTCATCTGAGACAACTAAACTGATCAAATACCTCGTGCCATGAGAATGACCAACCTCTCTCCTAACAATAAGGGGAACCTAGGCCAGCAAATTTATTGTAAATTTTACCTTTCCAGGAAAAAATGAATTCTGGCCCTGATTCTACCATTAATTCAAATTACTTAAAAAAGATCAAGTATTCAAGTACATTTTAGGATATGTATTTCTGCCTTTGGGCTTAATATTGCCGTAATTTATGACAACACAATACCTTTTCCATTTTAAGATACAAAACATTCATAAATTTGTATTTCTGCTTTTGTCTCCACAATAACAGAGCTGACCAGGGCTGGTTTTGAGGTGAGTCATCCCAGATTAGTGGTCCCATGCCATCACTACAGTCACGCTTGCAAGGTCAGCAGCTGTACAGTTTATTATAATAATCCAAGAATGTTTCAAATACAAAGCCACACTACCTACTTATGGGGCAGATTTTAAATCTTAGTATCTATCCCTGCATCATAATGAAATTGGCTGTGAAAAAGTCAGGGAGTTTTTGGAAAAGACTCGTGTAGACACTGCATAACATAAAAGTGGAGCAGAGCTAGCCTGCCCAAGGGAAAATCTCTTTTTCTGTCTTGTGGTAAATAAAGTATACTTGTTTTCTGTACCCTTTTTCCTTCAAATTATTTTTATATTGCCCAGGCAGCTCTTGCTTCCTCCTTTCCACCCACTTTGTAGTATTGCAAGAAAGAAAGAAGTGTCTTTGGACCAGAATAGCTGAGATTTATGTGGACCGTGCTGGGTCTCTTTTACTTAATTGCACAAAGGCTCATTGCAGTTGTTTAGGAAAAACAGACTGCATTGATAGGATAAAGGCTGACAGATACTTGCATTTGTATGTAGAGGTGTGCCACAATAGGCTGATCTGCTTCAGCAAATGGAATGGGAAGATTTGGGGCTTATTTTTGGTTTTCTCAATTCAAATTGTGCAGTTGAAGACTCAACTCTAAAACTAAAAACATTTTTTTAAAGCATATTAATATACTGCACTATAAGGGTACTGTTTAAGAAACAAAGAGGAGAGAAAAACACCCTCAAATTGTACTGCAAATACCTAAAGCTTTTCATTTATTTTGGATATATACAAGGTCTGTGGATTTATTCTTGATTCATATTGTTTAGCATAAATTCAAAAATGTCCTCATGCCATCAGTCTGCCAGTTCTACTACTTCTTGATTTTATTTTCAAATAAACTGGTTTTTACCTGGTATTGTCTTGGAGGATTGTTTAAACTGTTTAAGTGGATTTCATCTGAGCTTCTTATACTCGACTGCTTCCTTTGATCAAGCTGCAATGGAAACATTATTTATAGTACAAAATAAATAGAAGATCAATATGTGTATCTCAGGTATATATCCTCTGACAAAATCTAAGGCATCACAAAATGGACAACTGTGACTCAAGCTGAATGACTGGGCTGCAGTAAGAGTGAACAGAAACTAAAAGCAAATTATATTACCTTAGGTAAAGAGTGGGGCTGGTTCAACAAGTAGTAGCACAAGAAATATAAATCATGACTGATCTGGATGAGGAATAAGTGGGACCGTCACTAAATTTCAGTTCCCTGATATTATACATGGTCTAACAAAAACATTACCATTTCAAAGGATGGGACTGTCAGTGCAGTGTCTCAAATCCTGCGAGATTGTTCTGTACTTCCATGGAACCTCTCTATGTTGTGTCCTAAGATATCGAGCATCTACTGATGACTGGGGCACTTTGAAGCCTGTAAATACTCTGTGGGATATGGTGGGATATCATCTTTTAGGAACAGAAATAGGGCAGGATTTGATGCTTACTCAACTGTACACTGGGAATAATTTAAATACTATTTGATTTTGTTTAGCATTCCATAGAATCAGAGAATGGTTTGTGTTGGAAAGAACATCTAAAAACAGGTAGGCCAATGCCCCTGCCATTTTCAGGGACACCTTCCATGAGATCAGCCTTGCATTTTGATACAAAATTTGATTACATCTATTGGTAAGATATATTCATTAGCAATTAATATAAAGTGTACACTGGATTTGGGAATTTTTTGTTCTTTCCATTATTTATCTATTTAGACTATGTTTATTTGACTAAGCAAAAGTAATGATAAAAATTAAATAGTGTAAAGCATATAAAACAATATTTCTCATATATTAATCTACATGTGGATGGAAATTAACAATGCATAAGAAGGGTAAGTTACATTTTTTTCATGCTTGAATAAAGCTACTTCAGATATTCTGAATATATATTAAAAAACATAATTTTATCACAATGTTTTAACATAAACTAGGTGTCTGATTCTTAATAAAAAATAACAGCTAGTGAGTTTACACAATCACTATGCAATCACTATGTTTTTCAGGATTTTAGAACTAATTATACTCTCTCTTGGGCCTCATCTGTGATACTGGGTTAAAAGAGGAAAACAATCTTCCTGCTATTTCAGCTCCTGGATTTCTCATTTCCACCATTCTTAGAAATATAGTAGAACAAGAGTACGATCACGCTTCCTCTGAAGCAGCAGAGGGAAGTTGCTTTGGATATTTACTATGTATTTTATTACATATTTTAAAAGCAGTGAGTCGTTCTGGTTACCAGTTTCAAACTTATGTCACATTCGTTCATCTCAAAAGTTAATCCATTGCTTAATTAGAATTTGATTTTCACTTGAAATAGCAAAATTGGTAATACATGACATGACACTGCAAACTTGTAAAACCAGGCTCACTGCAACGCCTTTATCTTAACCTTCACCCTCCAGCACATTTTTAAGATAATAATTAACTTTTAAATAGTTGCAGAGGGCACCTTGAAAGTTGGCAGGTAAATCAGAAGTGTGTAACTTTACAGATCTAACTCATTAGCTCTTTTATGTGTACCAGTAACAGGACACAAGATTCACTGTGAATTGCTGAATGACCACTTGGTGGCAGAGACTGCCAAGATTTCATTATAACATCTAATAACATTTTTTAACTCTCTTTAAGCTCTCTTTAAAGTCTCTTTAAGCTTCCTGCCTAAGGCTTTTTTCTTTCTCCAAAATCAGTACTAGAGTACACTCAGCCTGTCACATTGATGACTGACCTAGAATTCGTATTTTTAAGTTAACATTATTGAACATGAGTAACCAGAGGGGAAATTATGTAAATGAAATAAAACAATAATACAACTCCCAGCAAAAATAACTCTTCTCCTAGAATGCTGTGTGAAATATGAAATGCAGGATACATGGATCATTGTTCTTTGAAAACACCTTAATCTTTAAATTTGCCTCTCACTTTGTTATTCTCCTGTGTTACTTAAAATTCAATGCAATCAGAATAGTAATTAAATTATTGTAGCTGTTTTGTTTAGCACTTTATTAATGTCTTAAATAACAAGCTGCTGTCAACTTGCAATTCCAAAAGATTGTACTTTCTTGGATCAGAGGGGGGGGTTCCCAGAAAGTGACTCAGTTTTTGCTCCTATAACCAGACATGACTTGTGAAAATTTCAGAAACACTGTTTTACACTAGGAAAGTTAAACATAACATATTTTTCTTGTTTGAGTGAGGGCTTAAAGCTACTTCAAGAAATAGTTGTCCCACACTTATTTTCTGAAGGGCCATGTTTAAAGAACAAAATTTAAATATATCATCTCTCACTGCTGATTTTTAGCTCTGGAAGATGAACAACTTTTGTACCACTTGAGCAATAAACTTTCTCAATGCCAAGGCAATTTTTAAATTTAGAATAGAAGTCAAAGTAGGGTTTTTCTTGAAACTCTCCTTCATTTCTTTCTCCCTTTTATTTGTCTGAGTTTCTCACTCGATGTCTAAAATGGCAATTCTAGCCTGAAACAAGAAATCTATGGATTTTAATCTACAGTCTGAAAGAAAACATCTTCACAGTCTTTAGATTGTATTAGGTATGTCTCAGGTAATTAATTTCTGGTGTACTTTGCTTTGAACACAGCTATGTAAATTTCTTACTGTTTAGCACTGACAGCATCTGGCTTTTTTTCCTGCTAGCAATAATCAGAGCAGAACTGGATCTAGGAGCAGAATTTCCTTCCTTCCTTCTCACCCTAATGCTTGTCTTCACACTCACTCTGCAGCTGCTGCTGCTTTTGCACTGAGAAGATGCAGGCTCTGCAGCAGAACAACCCACAGGCTGGGCTTGGATCAGTAAACTCAAGTGTGTGTTAACGTTATTGGGCACTGCAATGCAATGTCTTCCATCAGTAAACTCTCACTGTCCTCACAGGTAGGACTTACATCAGAACAACCTTCTGTCTTCCTAGGCACAGTTTGGCTACTGGAATGGTTTGGGCACAAGAGGTTTCCTACTTAGTGAGGAAAATTACCTGAATTGGTATTCCTGCCATTCCTGAACTGGCCTCAATATTCAGATAAGCTATTTTACTAGCATTTTATTTTATTATTACATTTTACTAGCACAAACACAGCCATCAAGTCTTGGGTGTGGTCTTGCCAAACCTTTCCTTGCCTTTGCACAGCTCATTTTATTTATAGTAGCTCCCTGCACAGGTAGCTCCTTGCTCAGCACTCACAGCAGCATCAACCCCCTCAGCACTAAATGAGTCAAAAGTCAAAATCCCAAAAGCCTGAGAGTGCCTTTGAGAAGATGCCATGAAAGCCTCAACAATAATGAATCGTCAACAGTGGATCAAAAGGTAAGACAAAACCACTTCAGTTACTTCTTGGAAGTGCACAGAATGGAAACATCTCGTAGATTCAGATAAATTCAGCTCCACAGTATGTGGCAGCCAAAAAGGTAAGTATAAAAATGTAATCATCTGCCAGTATCTGCTGCAAAACCTGAGAAATGAATAAATATGACCCAGATGCTTTATGTTTTTCAACATAAAAGCTTTTTCTTTTTTTTTTTTAATTTGATTTGCAGTTTTATTGCTGCTTTGGCTGGGGAGTAAGCACATTTCATTTAGGATTAGTTATATTAAAATCAACACTGAGTGTAAAGCATTAATATTTGAAGACTTAAAATTAACTCAGGGTTAGGAAAAAATCTGATGAATATGTTTGCATCCCTACAGCTCTCTTTCAGAGGGACTGCTGTAAAAGCTGACAAACCTGCTACTGTTTTATGTAGAACTGGTAATTATTACACTTTGCACCTTCCTAGAAACATGCTAGAAAACATGAATTGCTAGGTTTGAATGGACTGATAAAAATACATCTTCTTTCCTTAGGCTTTAGAAATGGGACTTATAAGAGTACCTGTTTTATGGGAACATAAATTTCATGCTAAAAAAGTCATTAAAACAAGCTTGTAACCTACTTATGTGCTTTTCAGATTCACAAATTGAATTAGGAAAAGAACCACTTATTGTTTTCCACCACCACTAAATTTTAAGTTTATATGCATCTCCTCAAATGTGCAGTATTTTAGTGATGATTTTATCACTCTCAGAAGTTTTAAAATCAAGTTGCATCAGGCAGCTTGGTGAAAAGTTTTGCCAATGTCAGATTCATTAAAAACCTGAGCAAATGCAGTGTCATTTCTATCAGGTCTTAAATATATTAGGATTAGATTTCCAAATAAAATGAAGTGATCTGTAAAACACTAGAAAAATAATAGAGATGAGATATTTGAACTTAATGACAATTTTGGCTTTGGTGATAGTGTTTGTAATACCTGTATTTATTTTCATAAACTGTATAAACTTACCCAGAGGCACAGGATTTTCCCTACAACTCCATTTTTTCCTTCTAGGATTGTGAGCATTTTTTCTCTTTTACTCTTCAAGTAATAAGTGTGAAAAATGTGCTGGCTACTCTGGCAACAGAGAACTGACAGATGCACGTAAACTCTTTACTGGTCCCCAGTTTAGTGACTAATGGCTCTTGACTGCAGACTCAAGAACTCCCAACCTTGAACAGGCCTCTGCTCAGACCACAGCCCATTTCAACAAAGATCCTTCCACACATAAATTTCCATTGAAGAAAATTTTGTTTTACCACCATGAAAATCTTATCTTTTTTTTTTTTTTTTTTTTTTTTTTTT